CATCTTTTCATGTCCAGCTTTTCTTACGTGCCAGGTGCGATCTTTTGGCGCGGGCTCTCGATTCGGCGGCATCAAAAGCTGTGAGTGCGTGGTAACCGCGTGGTGACCGCGTGGTGACCGCGTGGTGACCGCGTAGTGACCGCGTAGTGACCGCGTAGTGACCGCGTAGTGACCGTAGTGACCGCGTAGTGACTATAGTGACCGCGTAGTGACTCTAGTGACCGCGTAGTGACCGCGTAGTGACCGTAGTGACGTAGTGACCGCGTAGTGACCGCGTAGTGACCGCGTAGTGACCGCGTAGTGACCGCGTTGTAAGGAGTCCACCTTTTTAGTCATCTTTGTAGCATTATTGTTTCAATATTGAGTCATTATTGAATCATTATTGAGTCATTATTGAATCAATATTGAGTCATTATTGAGTCAAAATTGCGACAAAAAAAAGAAAAAAACGCTATAAATTAGGTCGGATTTGTTTCGACCTCGCAAAGTCGGAATTACAACTTCGCTGAAAAAGAACCTCATTTGCAGTAAAAAGAACCAGAAGATCTCGACTTCGTGAAAAATCGCGGAAATCGAAAAGGCCGTTTTCGAGGATATTTATCGCGGTTTTCGGCATAACGGAACATGTCGAAAGGTCGTTTTTTTGAGGATATTTGTCGCGGTTTTCGGCACTACGGAACACCCCCTCGTAAAATCTCGGAATGTCGAAAAGGCCATTTTCGAGGATGTTTGTCGCGGTTTCGGGTCTTGCGAAAAATGCCCCCATAAGCCTACTTTCTCTATTATTCTAGATTGCCAGCAACCTCAACTCACAAAAAGGAGTTTCACTATTTTTGGACAAAAGAAGAAAATGAAGCATAATGTTCTCAGTGGAACGCAAACAAGGGCAAAGAAAAAGACACGGCAAACCAAAAGCAAAAGAAAAGGAATTCCAAAATACGCATGTTAGCAAATTGTGCAATAAGAATCAAGGCAGAACGCAAAGTGCAAAGTTTTGCAAACAAAGCAGTCCTTTACCAGGTCACAAATGCTCAGAAAAAGACTTTTTCTTGACCCTCAACAAAAAGAAAGCAGTTGAGAATGGCATGTGGCTGAGAAAAAGATGTTCCAGGTCTGAAGAAAGAGAAGCCGCTTTTGAGCCACCTTTGTCACTGCTATGGACAAGAGGGTGCAGTGTTGAGACACTTTTTGTGCATTTATTGCTGTTTCAAATGGGTCCTAAAGCGCTTTTGTGTGGCCTTCGCTTTATTGTGTGTGATAAAACAATTTGATTGCAAGGTGTTTGCTTGTAGGTAATTTCTTTTTCGTTGTTTTGAACCCCCTGATTTCGTGTAGCTTTCTTCTTATTGTGCTGTTTGTTCTTGTTGTCCGTTGCGTGGCTCCTTTCAATTTGTTTTCATTTGTTTCCTATTTTGCCGAATTCCTGATTTGCGATATTCTCATCTTGCCTTGTGTGTGCGTCTCTCCGGTAGAGGTCGAAAAAAAGCACCGGAGGTCCAGAAAAAGATGTCTTGGGGGCTACAAGATGTTTCGGGGCCGAGGAAAAGCATAGAGGCCGAAAAAACAAGATTCACCAATCGCGTGGTCTGGAAAAAAAAGACATTTCGGGGTCGAAAAAAAGAGCAGCCCGCTCAAAAGCAAGATATTGGCCACGTTCAGAGACGAGAATTTGCGATGGTTTCTGCCAGTATCGCAACAGAAGCATCCCAGTCTGGTGTTGTTCGGTCATGCAGTTCCTTTGCTTCTGTGCAGCCGAAAAAAAAGCTGTCAAGGCTCAACACTTGAAAACAACCTCTGACAGTGAAACTCGGAAGATATGAAACACAAGCTTTTGTTTGCATAAAAGCTCAAAGCATGGAGACAAAAAACTTGAAGATGCTTGCTTCCTGTCAACATTTCCTGTAAAAGTCTCAAGGTCAACGTTTTCCAGAGACTTCGCAAAAGATCTTTGGCGCTGCACTGTCGGACTTCCTCCCCTTTCAAGCTTTTGAAGGCTTCGAAGATTTCGAGGGGACGAAGGGTGCTTCGAAGGCTTCGAAGGGGAAGGGGGGCTTCGAAGGCTTCGCCTTTGCGCAGCCAAGAACTTGTGGAAGGGTTGGTTGCAGATCGTCCTCAAGCAGTTTCTAGCAAAACCTCAAACCTTTCTCCGTGTCTCAAAGCCAACAGTGTGCAGAGGAGGGTTTCCGCACAACTTTCACAGACGGAGATCTTCCTTTCCGAACGGAGCTTACGTTTTTGGCCGGGTGGGCTTCACTGTTTCGCGTACTTTCGCTTTTGTTTGCAAAACTTCGAATGCTACTCAAGCCACCACGTGACCAAAACGACCTTTCGCTGAAGGTGCTGCTTGCTGCAGCACTGTAGCTTACAGTGAAACTGCTGAGCAACAGTGGCTGCTTAGTCTTCTCATGAGCGGTATTTGTGTTTTACGCAAACATGTTTACAAAAACACCAGCGAATCCTTTTTGTGATAGATGCATTCTCATGCTTTTTTGCATGTCAGCCAGATTTGCTTCACACTTCAGCATGATGTTTCACTGCAAGTGCAGATTTTAGGCCATTCGGAAGGTCTACCTATTTATATTTTTTTGTTCGCTTTGCTTTTCAGTTTTCTTGCATTTCTATCGGATTAGGCGGAGTGGCCTTAGGGTGTGGCATACCTTCGCGTTTGCTTGCACAACTTTGAATGCTGCTCAAACCACCACGTGACAAAAACGACCGTTCGCTGGGCACCGCTTCCGTGTCTAGAGCCCGTTAGATTAGATTCAATAAGACACGAACAGGTAGCTCTCTGAATCAGGGTCTCTGAGGTTCCCAATTTAGTACAGCACCCTTATACAAAGGGCCCAAAAGACTCTAATTTAGAGAATTACCCAAGTAGCATAAGATAGTCAGAACGACGCGAGGGGAGTAACCAAAAAGCACAGGGCATAGATTGATACGGTGGCGCAATCTGCAGCAATGCATGTCCAACAAAGACGTCGAGCTCCATGACGAAGTCCAGACTTTCGGTTTGTTAAAGCTCCGGAACTAGTGCTTTTTGCCACCAGCTACTGTCGGATCAGGATGGAAGTCTTTAAATTAAGTTCTGTCCAAAACCAGCGTCTCAACACTGTCGTGACAAAAATGAATGATCAACATGAAGATTGTGCATGTTGCCGGTGGATGCCCTTGGACCGCATTCTGGGTGCTGTTCCGCGAGATGCCACCATTTTCCATGGTGTTTGGGTATTTTCTGGAATTCGTAAATGGACAGGGCTGCGTTTTGTGGAGCAGTTTGCCTGCTGGTTGTTTTGTGCAGTGTTTGGGGGATGAATCTGAGGCGTGCGCGGCAACTGCTTGAAGCACATCGCAAAGACTGCTTGCGCCCAAGAATGTTTCCGAGTTCACGAAAGGTTTCGGTTTCGACCTTTGGCCCATTGGTCGCATCGGTTTCTTGCTAGCCAGGTGTGGAACAACAGCTTTATTTTGAGGCCTGCAGCTGCACTTCATGTTCTTCAGAAAATGCTTGGAAGCTAGTTGTGGTATTGTCTCACTTCTTCAATTCTTCGACCAAGCCTTGCAGTGCAGGCTGCCGTTGCGGACACACGGGCCAAAGAGCATCACACTCAGCCAGTTTCTGCGTGTGTCCTATTTAACCTATGTTCATGATTGTTTAGGTGTGATGTTGATCGAGCAGCAATGGTTGTTAGGTTGATGCATCTCGAGCGGGCCTGGCACCGTCAGGCCAAGCTTTTCATGCTCGAGTTGTTGCACCCGTGGATGTGTTGAGCATCCACCCCGCATGAATGCTTTTGAGTCTGCTGCGTCTCAGCAAGGCTCGCCTGCTTGAACGTACACCGCAAATGACTTAATTCGGTTTTAAAGCCAAGATGAACCAGGTAGTTTTGGACATGTTTTAGTTCAGGTCCAGAGCGTCATTGAACTTTTTAGCACGACGGCACGTCAACATCACAAGGGAGTCCGATGGCAGAGCCGGCCTGACCATGGCAGCAGGCTTCCATGGCGTGCTTCTTCTTGGTTTTCCGATTGCCATCGGTGCTGACTGTGTGGCAGGCTTGACACAATCCGTAATTTGACATCAGCAGCTTTTCTTTCTGCGGCGCAAGAGTAAGTTAGTAGGCATGCAGGTGAAAAGAGAGGAAGCTGCTTGACCGTTCTCCGAGATGCAGCGATTCTTGCTTGCGCTTGAAATGTTGCGCCATCGGATCCTAGCACATCATGTTGGTCATTCTCAGTGCAGAGTGCAGAGAATCGTTCTTGCGTCCTCCCAAGGACGGATGGGAGGCTTTTCGGCAAACCTGGAAAAGACAACTTCTGCAGCTTTGCCTCTGTGACCAGTCGAACACAGCTTGGGTTTTAATGTCAGTCTTGCGGGCTTGCGCTTGCAAGCGGTTCGGCGCTGCAAGATGTCTTTTCGACCATGACCTTGCGAATGGAGAGCTGGGTTGCATCCCCGATGTTAAGATGACTGTGCTGTGGTTCCTTGCGTATTTAAAGTTTCAAGGTAGGTAGGATGTTTTGGTGCCTGTGTTTCCCGTATCTTGGTGTTGGAAATCAGTATCTTTTTTCATCCTCGTCGAAAGTTTCTTGCCAACCAATCAACACCTGGTTAACTTCAAGTTCGGAGTAATGAACAGTCAGCACTGCATGAACACAGTCAGCTGTCAGTTCGAAAGGAGAACTTTGCACGACTTTGCTCGGGCAAGCAAGTTCCAAGTGGCGCAACAGAGTACAACATTGAGCTTGGATCTTCAACCTCTGCAGGCTTTCATGTTGTGCAGCCTGCCCGACCTTTGCTGAAGCCTGGAAAGTGCCTTTCATGTCTACGGATGCCCAGGTGTGTTTCGGGATGGCGTGCCCAATAAAACCTGGCGCGCCGGAGTTCCCACTGCTGCCTTGGCCTTCGGAGGAGTTGCTCTTCGGCGCCGCTCGGAGTCACGGTGTTGAGTTTGGGATGCATTGGAGATGCCCTCCTTGAGTTGTCTGGGCCGAGGTGGAGAGCCCTTCCTCGAGCTGCTCCAAGCTTCTGAACCCGAGCTGTGCAGCCGAATATCAGAGGGCGGAATTGGACTGTGCCCGAGATCCTCATAGCAGGACAGAGGGCAACCTAAAGCCGTGTTATGCAGCAGAGGTTGTCTGAAGTGTGTCAGAATGTCGATAAGGGAGCCGTGACACTAGATCTAGCACAGAGAAGTGGTACTGATGCCGGTGGGAGAGCTTGCAGGAGCATTTGGGAGGGTGAGACGCAAGGTCTATGTCCAAGATGCCAGAAGCCACTCGACGAGAGACCTTCAGTTGAAGCTGCTGTGCCTTCGAGCCTCTTCGAGGCTTCAGTTTTTGCCTGGACGCTGAGGCTGGTGCGGGCATACCAGCAGCTGAGCAAACTCTGCCAAACCGGCCGGGACTTCTCCCTGGATGCCCTGAAGCTACATTTCTTGGAGAGGCCCATCTTGTGCTAAAGAGACCTGCTTGAGTGTAGGTATTGTAGGTCCTCAACGTTCTGGCACAATACCTCGTGTGGTGCCGAAGAGTCGCCAGCAGGTCGGCGAGCGACGATGTTTGGCGATCCGACTTGACAGCAGAGCTTTGATGGAAAAGGATCACGCTCCCATTGGTGAGGGAGGAGCTTTGCGGTTGTGAGAAGGCATAGAAGTAGGTGATGCCGCATAAACCAACTCGTGGTTGACATGTAGAGTACGGCCGGCTGACGGAAGCCTCTCACAGTATCGTTCGCACCTTTAGTTGCTTATTGAAGGTTGTCACAAAGGTTACTTCAGTAATTCGGGAGCTGTGTGTGTGTGTGTGTGTGAAAG